ATATAAAATAAATCATTTACAAAACACTTATGGGTATTCTCTAATTTATGTTCCTTTGGGTCATAACTGGCCTCTGATACCCCCTCTCACCTCCTTCCTATTCATGTTCTTTGCCACGGACTGAATGGTAGTGTCTACATGTAATTCTGACCTTGGCACTCTGCTGAAATCTTCTAGAGGCTTCCAGTTTGCATGAGGATAGAGTCCAAAATATCTTCAAAGCTTAAGAAGGCCCACACTGCCTGCCTGGTGTCCAGTTTCATTTGGTGGATTTTTCCGGCTCGCTGCCCCTCCCTCCTAAGCTCTTCAGTTACACTGCTCTATAGGTTCTCAGCTCTTACATTCTGCAGGGCCCTGCCTCACGGCAACCCACCCTCAATGCCTGAGCGTAAGCATTGCTTCTCATGACAGATTTTCATGACAGCTGTCCTCCCCAAGTTAGTTTGGCTATTCCTCTTCTGCCACTTCCCATGCTTCAATAGGATTCTCTGTTCTCCTTAAAGGATTTACTTCTTTTTAATTGTGACTTTTAATGAAGGCTTACAGAAAGGTTGAATTTTCATTTATTCATTGAATTTTCCTCCCTCTCATTCCCTTTTCTCTCCCCCAGTCCACTCAGATGGCCAACAAACATATGAAGAAATGTTCAAAAGCTGTAGCTATCAGTGAGATGCAAATCAAAACAACTATGAGATACCTTCTCACTCCAGCAACAATAACAACCATTGCAGGACAGAGCAAGCATCCGATCTGCTTTTCATAGGGCCACTATGAGTCTTTGTTGACTTGGTCACATGACTATCAATATATTTACAGATTTCCTTTCACACTTGATTTTAGTTTTTAGTTCTTTTCATACATAGTTAGAATAACACTGCATGAAAGATTTTGCCAATTGCTTATTTCACTTAATGTTTTTTGCGTAAACCAAATAAAAATCAGGATAATGTGCCTTTTCCAGAAAACTTCAAGGGGATATACTTGGAAGAGCCCATTCTGGAAAGGTAATGAAAAAAAAAAAGTACTTAAAAAGTTTGACAAGATTTCAAAATAGAATAGAGAGAATTTTGCAAGAACTAATAGTTGCTGGGAATTTCATGTGTCTAAATTCCCTTGACATTTTTCTCAGTGAATTGTCTATATACACAGTCATTAACTATGACGGCCTAAAATATACTTGTAAACTATCTAAAGCTTCCCAGTGGGACTAGTTGTTTTCTGTTTTCCAAATGTGTAATCTAGATTCTTTTTCTGTAAAACCATGCTGTTATCTCCATTCTTCAGTGCCCACCAGCCACTGAGAACATCTTGAAACATTTGAGTATTTGCTTCATGAAACAGTCCATCTTTCCTTACCTCAGCCCTTCATTTATTGCATGCCATGTTCATGTCTCAGTTTTAGAATACCTCAGAGACATCAGAGAAGACATTCAGATGGCTAACAAGCACATGAAGAAATGTTCAAAATCCCTAGCTCTAAGACAGATGCAAATCAAAACAACTATGAGATATCATCTCACCCCAGTCAGAATAACAAAATTTAACAGAACAGCAAGCAACAAATGCTAGTGAGGTTATGGAGAAACTGGAACCCTTATTCAGTGTTGGTGAACGTGTAAAATGGTGCAACCACTGTGGAAGGTGGCATGGCGCTTTCTCATAAAGTTGCAAATAGAGATACCATTTGACCCAGCAATTCCACTACTGGGAATATACCCCCAAGAGACGTAACTGCCATCCACACAGATATATGCACACCCATGTTTATTGTGGCTTTGTTCACAATAGCAAGCAGTTGGAAGCAACCTAAGTGCCCATGAACAAACGAATGGATAGAGAAGCTGTAGTATATTCACACAATGGAATACTATGCTGCATTGAAAAATAAGGAACTCATGCAATATTGTTCAAAATGGGTGACCCTGGAGGACATTATGCTGAATGAAGTATCTCAGTCAAAAAAGGACAAATACTACATGGTGCCACTATTGTAAAACAGGACTGACATTGGGGTTAAGGGAAGACTGAGAAAGATGGGTTTAATAATGTATACTGCATTGAAACAGAGGAGGGAGAAAACTGTTTAAAAGGGGTATGTGATTAGGTATTTTTGTCATAACAGGAGTCCAGAGAAAAGGATGCATAGTGGAGTGGACCTTGGGGGGAGGGATTGTAAAACAGTGTAATAATTTTTCTTTTACTTTTCCAAGAGGCTGGTGTACTGGGGCGGGGAGGGTTGGGATGGGAGAAAAGTGCAACGATGAATGAATGGAAATAAAAGAAATTTAAAAAAAATAAAGAATACCTCAGAGAAAACTTTCTTGGTCGCCCCTAGAAAACACTTCTCTCCTGCATGCCAGGAAACTTTTCAGTGACGAAGAAGAGTATTTTCTTTTTGACAGTCTTTATATGGGGGGGGGGGAAGGTTTACTGTCATTATGTCCATAGAATTACTCAGCATATGATCCTGCAGAATGTGAGTGAGTATCACCTCTTTCTGGAGAGAACTTGTATAAAACACAAGGAAAAAGAAGAAAAACATGGACTGGTAGAGTATCTTTGTCATGAGAAGTGAAGCATGCTTGCCTGTAGTTTTGCAGTATTTCTAGTAAAGAATAAGGCAGCTCCTTCTCAGAGCTGCATATGAGCAAATAAAATCTGCATTATTGTTGCTCATATTTGGGGTTTGAGAGAAGGTTGTTTCATCGCCAGGGCATTTGTGGTAAGAGTATGTTCCTAGGGTTAGTCTATAAATCAGCTGCTTCTCTGCCATCCTTCTCAGGGCTAGTAAATGTGAGAGCATACTGTGGGGAGGAAAGAGAGCTTCACTGTTGGGACTTTTAAATGAAAAGGAAAAGACTTCAGATGCAGTGAACTAGCAAACAGTGAAAACGTAAGAGATTACTACGTAAAGACAATTTTTAAAATTAGAAATAATAAAAGCATTGTTCTGAAAAGAACACTTTGGGTGATGTCACTTCTTAGTGTTATAAGTTCATCTTTTACTCCCTGTCTTATAAAATAGAACTAATTAATTCAGGTTCTGGCAAAGGAAAGGGAGTTTCCTCTGGCAAGAATCTCTACACCTCATTTCCGAGAGTTATTCTCCATGACATTATCTGTCATTTTAGTGATTGGTTGGGTCCCCCCCCCCCATATACTTTATCATCAGCATTCACTTGTCTATTTGCTGTCCTGAACAACTTGGAGTTGCTGTGATACTGAATACTTTGCCATGTTGTTGATTGTCGTCAAGTTGAGCACGAATCATATGAACTCCATGATCAAAAGACCTAATCCCTTTCTATAAGTTTATCTAAGTCCATAGAATTTTCATAGGCATGTGATTTAGGAATTGGATGACACTTCTGCTTCCAAACCTGTTTTCCAACTGGGAGTTCCACCAACCTCTGTCCACATTGGGAAACCATTATGGTATTTGATACCCCAATGTCATAGGTTCAGCATCAAAGCAAATCCAGATTACCTCAGTACAGCAGATTGACAAGCAGTGATATACAAAGTGAAAGAACGTTCCTCCAAAATATAGCAACACTAGTATCACTTAACAGTGGTTAAGTGTCGTCAAGCTGAATACATAGCCACCCTATGAACAAATGACATGAACTCTGTTCTACAATTAATGTGATTTCTTTATGTTTATGGAGTTTATAGAGTTTCTAGATGTTGTTGTTGTTGTTATGTGCCGTCGAGTCGCCTGCGACTCATAGCGACCCTATGTACAACAGCCCTAAACTCCACTCTGTCCTGTGCCAATCGCACTGTCTCTGACACTCCCATCCCAATTATCCCAGTCACTGAATCAATCCACCTCATAGAGGGCCTTCCTCTCCTGCGCCGTCCCTCCACCCTCCCAAGCATGATGTCCCTCTCTAAGGACCGGTCTCTCCTCACAACATGTCCAAACTAAGTTAGACGGACCCTCAGAATCCTTGCCTCCAAGGAGGCACCCGGTTTAACCCTTTCCAGGACAAATCTGTTTGTTTTCCTAGCAGTCCATGGTATTCTCAATACTTTTCTCCAGCACCACAGCTCAAAGGCATCAATTCTCCTTCTATCCTCCTTGGTCATTGTCCAACTCTCTGATGCATAACAAGTGATTGCAAAAACCATGGCCTGTATCAGACGCACCTTAGTCTCCAGAGAGACACCATTGCTCCTCAGCACTCTGGAGAGGTCCCTAACAGCAGACTTTCCCATGGCAATGCACTTTTTAATTTCCTGACTGCTGGTGCCAAGACTGTTGACTATGGAGCCAAGCAAACTAAAGCTGTGTACAATCTCAATCTCTTCACCATCCATCCTGATGCTGCCAACTGGTCCAGTGGTGAGAATCTTTGTCTTCTTGACATTGAGCCTCAATCCATATTGTAGGCTGCAGTCCTTGACACTCTGCAGCAGGCACTTCAGGTCCTCCTCAGTTTCAGCAAGCAGGGTTGTGTCATCGCATAACGCAGGTTGTTGATAAATCGTCCACCAATATTGACCCTACATTTCTCCTCATAGAGCCCAGCCTCCCAGATAATCTGTTCTGCATACAGGTTGAAAAGGTATGGAGATAGGATGCATCCCTGGCGTACACCCTTCCCAATTTTGAACCATGCAGTGTTCCCTTGCTCTGTTCTGACGACTGCCTCTTGGTCCAAGTATAAGTTTCGCATTAGAACGATCAAGTGTTCTGGGATTCCCATTCTTCTCAGAGTCAGCCACAGTTTGTTATGATCTACACAGTCAAATGCCTTTGCATAGTCAATGAAACACAGATAGACATTCCTCTGGTATTCCCTGCTTTCAGCCAAGATCCATCTAACATCAGCTCTCAGCACAGTAAACTTCATGAATCCTTATATAAAATATAATTAAATATCTTGGACTCCCTCAGAGACGTAAAATGCTGAGGCCTTTTCTTCAGGCCCTTGTTAAAGATAAGGCTTCCCTGTCAATATTTCCATTTAAAAAAATCTTTTTTTCTCTTTCAGTTCCACGGCAGCCTTCAAATGACTTGTTTGAAATTTTTGAAATAGAAAGAGGAGTCAGTGCAGATGATGAAGCAAAAGATGATCCAGGTAAACAGTTAATTTTCAGTTCCATTATAATGAAATTTTTTTTCTCCATTCCATGAAAATAGCTTTTAAATAGGAGATTGACTGGCTACATCTGGGATAATTATACATTTTTCTGTCTTTCCCCCTCCCACCCTGAAGCAGCACATTGGTCTCCCTGTAATTAAATCACTTGAGCAAAAATGATTACGAATCGTCAGTCTCTCCTTTTTTGAAAATGCATTAAAGCCGCCCTTAAACTGTGAGGAAATAATAATTTTTTAGTGATGAGGTAGCAGGGTCACCGCTCGCAGCACTGGTGGGTGCTGGCTTTGCAGCTGGAGCCTGCGTGTGCAGTTGTGCTGAGAAAGGAGACCTGCTCTTCCCCTCAGATCTCCGGCAGGATGTTCTGATGTGACAGTGACCACGGGCAGGGAGGAGGTTTGTTCTTCAGATACCCGTGGCTCACAAATATGTTTTTGCTGTTATCTTTTGGGTTTCTGGCTTTCACAGCTTTCCGGTAATCTCCTTCTAGGTGTCCTGATACACAGTTGCAATTTTGACCATGGCCTTTGTGGATGGATCAGGGAAAAAGACAGTGACTTGCATTGGGAACCTATCAGGGACCCAGCAGGTAAAACCATTTAAGTGTTTCTGGTAGATATTTTCAGTTTGATCTCTGAAGACCCTAGTTTTGCTGAGGACATATATTCTTTTTTCACTTAAGAACTTAAATTCAACAATAACAAAACACTAGCTAACAGTATTTTATAGGGCATATTCTTTTAGTGAAATAAATTTGTTAGCTATTAATCTGGAAGATAAGTAGTTAATTAAAATGCTAGCAAATTTCTTTCAAAAAATTTGGTGAATAAGGCATTCAGACCAACTCCACTATGTAACTTCCAAGCAATTATCATTGCCCAGTCTCAGGAATAACCAGAGTAATAGAGCAGTACATCACCATTATTGGTTGTTTTCTCAATTATATAATCCTACGTTTTTCCCCCCCAAGATTTAAGAGATGGTAGAAACAGGCAGTAGTAATTTCTAGGAGGTTGTAAATATCTCTCTGGCAGGAAATTCAATCTTACTTGAATGCTGTAGAAATTAGTTATGGATTACCACATTTACGACGCAAGGGAAAGGTTATTAGAAAGGTAATTTCAGAAATAGCCCCTTGGAAAATTAACAGGATTTTAAGTTGCACAGTTACTGTCAATCTAACGTTTCAGTTTTTAAGAGATGTTTGGCCTTCTCTGCTAGGGAAGCAAAGCTATCTACATATTGCTGTTGGTCTTCCTCCCTTCAGGAACTAAATCTTCAATAGCTCAGGCCAACTTAATGGAAGAGTGGGGAGTTCTGTTTATTTCCTTTTTCATACAAAAGACTTTTGACTCAAGAGTGAAATAAGCAAGACATAAAGAAAAAATCTTTAGACACCCTGTTTACTTTATCCTAAAAGTCTAGGACTAAAATACAGTACTTAATTTAAAGGTAGAGCACAAACCACAGAAACATTAATAAAAGAAAGAATACAATCTGTTAAAACAGCTCTTCTCAGTCTTCCTTGTACATACAAATTACGTTGGGGCCTTATTGATATGCAGTTTTGGGCACATTTGGTCTAATTTGAGGTCTGAGTTCCTGCATTCTAAGACACTTTCTGAATAGGAGTAGTAAGTAGCTTCAAAGAGCCATTTAGATTTTTTTTTTTAGCTAAAAAAGGAAAGTAATGTTTAATGCCACAAACACACATACACAAACAGAGGTACAAGACCCTCTATTTCATTCTCTCATTTTTACTATCCTGATTTACTTTGTGTAGCACAAAGTTACTATCAATGCCAAAGATATATATTAGTAAGAGCGAAAATTTATTTCATAAACAAGGAAAACCAAACTCTTTGCTGGTCAGTTAAAACATCTCCAAAGGATTTTCTTGGTTATGATCTTTACAGAAACACATAGGCAGACTCTTTCTTCCATAGTCCTGCTGGGTGGCTTTGAATTGCCACCTTTAGGTGAGTAATCACACACTGTTTATACCACCTGGGGACCTACAGTATTCATTATTGCCCTGGCTTATTTAGCGTTTTGTTAATTTTCTTTACTCCAAAACTTATTCTCCCTATGAAGCAGGTCTTTATTTCACAGAGGAAACGTTGTGGTCTAGAGAATTGCATGTATATATACATACACACAATATATATGTGGTTTAGTGTTAAACCTTTGTCTTTGGACTTCATATCCAGCCTCTCTATACTATCCATACAGTCTCCTGGGCAATTCAATGCCTGGAACATCCTGGACTTTTCACAGCCTCCCCACCTCCAGGTGACCTCAAGTTCCTGTGGTGGAATACATGATCTGATTAGCAGATTACAAGCCAGACGATTTGATGGACCATTGAGCTGGAGAAGTCGCTACAGGTGGAAGGCTCTTTGGCAGTCATGTGTGAGCAATGATAAATAATTCAGAGTCATAATGAATAACTCTCTTGGGTAAGGCACATGAAGGAGAATAATTTACCCTAAGAATTAGAAGAACTCATTGTACTTCCTAGTACCTTAGATCATAGACGGTTTACATAGAATAGTTGACTTTTAGGCTGTCGTTCATTTGTAAATGTTTAAATTTTTTGTGAACTAAATCCCCTTTACCTATGATGGGATGATGGGGGGGAAGAAATTATAAGAGGAGTGACAATTTAAAGGATAAACAAACAAAAAATATTTGTTATAGTCATCAGGCTAAGATAGTATAGCCCACATTGAAAGACATCCCCTTAGGTGTCTAGATGTATAATTCCTAATTATCTGTGGCCCATGGTGATGTCTGCCAAGGGTTTTCCCAATTTTTGCCAATACCTTGAATGAAGACACATTTACTACTAAGCTGTGGAAGACTCAAAGCCAGAGAAGAAAGTGGCTGTGTGTGCTGACATAGCTAAGATGCAAATGATTAGGTCCATGGGTCACTTAAGAAATTGAAGTCAAATGAGTATGACTAACACGTATCCCTTCTAGTGTATGGAAGAGAAACGTGATTTAGCAGTAAAGTGTGAAAGACTTAAGACTTTTAGTCAATAATAAAATCATTTTGAATAAAATAATCTCATGATATCTCTGGCAGAAAATTCTTTTCATAGAAATGATATTTTCCCAAAAGAATAAAGGAATAATCCCAGTTTACCTCAGATTGGTTGAAACACCTCTGCGGGTTCTTTTCTATGCGAGAAGAGTAGGCATAATTGGAGGTGTCTCATAGGGAACTTTGGTCATGTAATGATAAGAGCTTGAGCTGCCAACCTAAAGGAAGGCGGTTCGAATCTTCCTGCTGCTCCAGGAGGAGGAATGGAGAGTCTCTTCTCATGAGATTTATTGCCTCTGAAAACCTGCTAGAGAGTCTGCTGTGGGTTTCTGACACGATGGTATATAGCAACAACAACAACAATGGCAGAAAGATGAGAGACCTGGATGGAAAGAAATGTTAAAAAAAAATGGATATTTTGCCTGGAGAAGAAATAGCAGAGCAGAGCTGTTTTTCACATAATTAAAGGTCTGTTCTTTGACAACAGGTTAGTATTGTTGTCAGTGACAACATGGGATAAGAAGTAGGATCAAACTACAAAGAGTTCCATTTTGGTTCACTCTCAGAAGGAACTTTCCAACTGTCAGAACTGTTCGAAAAAAGATGAGGCTGATATGGAAGTGTGAGGTTTCTATGGATGGAGAGATCTGATTCTTGACTGAGTCACAGTTGGAAAGATATTGTTAAAATAGCTTGAACACTGGATGAAGATTGGTTTAGAAAACCTCTCAAGTTCTCTTTTAGAGCCTCTGATTTAAAATGAATTCCCCAAGAAACCACTGAGCAGGTTCTAGCTTAGAAAAATGAATTGGAAGACGGAAAGTTAGCCGGATGCCAGAGAGCCGGGTTAGGTGTGCGTGGCATAGCCATGTCAGGATGAAACCATAGAGATTGTAGCCATAAGCTAATGGGACAATATGAATAAGGTTCATATTGCTATGGTTATTTTTCTGCTAGGAATTTCAGGAGGGGTTGTATCTGTGACGCATAGCTAGCATGTGCCGAAGCCAGAAAAGAATATAAATAATTGAAAACATTATTCTTGTGTATTATCCTAATAACCACACTAATTGTTTACTTGTTTCTATCTAAATTATACTACTTGTAAAGGAACATCTGTTTGGAGTTCCACAGATACTATTTATTTTAATAGCACATTTATTTTCCAGAATCCAAATTTGCAAATATTGTTATATGCTAATATCTCTATGAAAGCCTTCAATTAACTAAACAAAAATCTTTTGAGAAACAGCTGCAAAATAAGTACAGTTACTAACTGTCCTTCCTAGTACTCATTCCATTTTGTTTAGCATAATCAGCCTTGAACTTAATTTGGTATCAAAAAATTTTTACTTCTTCCAAGGAATGGAAATTTTGACAGGTGTGGCGTCTTCCAAGTGACATGTGACTGTGGGCCCAGTACATACCCTGCCCTCCCCTTCTCACTCGTATAAAAGCTGGCCTTCTTGTTGTTGTATGCCATTATGTCAGAACTGGCCCATTTTAGGCCCTCCAGCAGGTTTTCAGAGACAATAAATCACATGGGAAGAGATTGCTTATTCTTCTCTGCTGAAAGTTGGTAAATTTGAACTCCATGCCTTTGACATTGCAGTGCAGCTTCTTACCCTTAGGCATCAGAGCGTCCCAAAATAGCCCTGGGGCCTCTCTTTTGGTTACTGATTTGAACCTTTATCTCAAGGTCCAAAGTTAAAAACAATGGACTCAGCACTTTGTTTGCTACAAGGAATTTTTTTTACATATAGAACAAATCACTCTCTTAGCCTAGTGGGTAAGGAGGCATGAAATCCACCGAAAGGTAGACAGTTTAGATCTACCAGCACCTCCGCAGCAGAGAGGTGAGCAGTCTCCTCTTGTCGGATTTACAGCCTCAGAAAACCTGCCAGAGAGTCAGCTATGGGTCAGTTCTGACTCACTGGCAATGGAGGAGGAGGAGAAAAGAGATCAAAACCAATGTGTATTTTCAGATAGGTCTACTGCAGCATTAACAATGCTATTTTTGAAATACATGTAAAAGGAAAAATAAATGAGCATTAAGAAATTCACTTCACTTCCAGCCCCTTTCTCCTCTGCATACAAGGCTAGTTTCTCAGTTATCCTTGCCACATATTGTTACCCTCCTTTTCCACAGATAGGGTACTTTTTGTATATTGCTTTTGTCTTAGTAATATTTTCTTAAGAATTAACATAGGGACTTTGAAGCTGAACTGTCTGGACTAAAATTCAGCTCTGACATTTACTAACCTTGACAAATTACTTAAATGGGGAAAATTAAAGTTTGTACTTCATATACATAAAGTACTTAATGTAGTGCCTGACTCAAAATTGCCACACGAGTAATACTAGCCATTGTTGTTGAAGATAGTCCTTTGTCACTAGAGACAGAGCACTTTTCTTCCCCTTAGTTAACCATGATTTTATTATATAGTAAGTCTGCTACAGTGGATCTACACAATGGTCACTGCAATAGGCTGAAGTACACCAGAGATGATGAGGATGGCATAGGGTAGAGAAGGATTCAGA